CACACACACACACACACACACACTCTCTCTCTCTGTGTGTTTGTTTAACCTTCAGGACGAAGTCCAACAAAAGCAGCACCAGCTCGTCATGTTTCAGCGTCCTGCAGTGAGCTGGTCTCAGATCAGATCAGATCAGTGTATATCTGAGACGGGCAGGTGCTGGTTTTGGAGGTTTAATGTTCTGACATATTATTGATTCTCCAAACTGAACTCCTCAATCATCCAGATCAGGGTTTCCCAAACACGGGTTTGTGAAGGAACTGCAGGTCAGTTGTGAGTTGATTAAAAGGTAATAATTAACTGAACTGAATGTAAAACTAAAAAAAAAGAAAAAAAGAAAAGAAATGGGGCTGCACAATTAATTGAAAATAAAACTGCAATTTCATATATATATACAGTGGGTACGGAAAGTATTCAGACCCCCTTAAAAGGGTAGTCATGGAATCCCCGCTGTCATTTAGCGGTTAGCCAAGCCCAGGCCCGGTTCTAGAGGGTTCTAGAGGGTGGTAAATCCCTTCAAATGAAAGCAAAAGCACCCTCAATTGAAGATCAGCCAAACTGTCCAGTGTGTATTTGCGTTAGCTCTCTGGAGAGCATCAAAAGTTACTCTTTACAACGTGTTTTTGAAGCGTAGAGCAACGTAGCCAATCACAGACATATCGGATGATTTCTTCAACGCAATGGCCAATCAGAAGCGTTTCAGCTGGTCAGAATTCCCTCACCGCTGAAAAGCTCTTAAGTGCAGTTCTGCACGCTCGTGAATCATCTCAGAACTAACAGAGTGCAGATGCCGTTTAGAGAGCTTCATGGATTAAGACGGAACTTTGTGAGATCGCGATGACCTAAGATGAGCGATGCTTGCTAGTGATTATACAGGGAGAGCTCTTTGCGTGCTTTATAGGCTATAAGACATTCAGAATTTGTATGAAACTTTTGTTTTTCAGACGCACACATGCTGCAAAGTTTCAGGAATGACATCTGCATGTATTTATGCTGGATTCGCTCTCGAAAGACTGACACAGTGATAATCATAGCAATGGAACGGACAAAAGAGCACCGGCTAAGCCTCCAGTGCGATTTATGATTGAATATAGTCCCACTACTGATCTTTTTCTTTTTTTTTTTCTTCTTCACGTCTTGGCTTTGGTGGCAACAAGTCCAAAACGGACGCATTTCAAGTGACTGGATTTGGCAACTGGAAAAAAGTCGTGGAAAATTTCAGAAACACGAGTGGTCCAGCGATCTATCGCCAAGACTAATATATCGACCGATATTTGGCATTTTTAAATTATCGGCATGGACCAATAATTTGTTCTATTTGGCCGATAAGTGTGATAAGCTTTTATTTTGACAGCACTAAGAAGAAGAAGCATGATTTACATACTTGATTTCAAACTATACTGCGATATAATCCAGTTTGTTATATTCATGTCATATTCACAGTGTGTACTGTATGTAAAAATCAGAATTCATGAGAAAATATGATTCCCAGTGCGCACAAACTTACCAGATTACTGAGCGCACTGCTGCTTACAGTGCTTACTTCCTTTTTAATTCACATTTTTCACTTTCTTTGTGAAATATACTCTAATCGGATTACAGAATCAAGAAACTGGTATTTGTTTATTTTACAAACACATTTTTTTACCCAAATAATTTTGTTCATATTGATTCATTTTGCAATGAATTTTTCTAATTTAATAAATATGTAAAATCTAAATTTCAGTGCGGCAATTGTAATGCATGTTATTTAAATTAAATATTCTAATATTTTATCGGCCATTGCCCAAGATATCGTATCAGTATCGGTGGTCAAAAAATCCATATTGGTTGATCACTAGTACCAATGTTTGTCTTTTGAGTAAATGATGACAGAATGACGTTTTTTGTCCATTAACAGTATTTTAACACGAGTCTGATGATAAACGTGTGGTTTTTGATGACACACTGACACCTGAACCGTCATTCAAACTCACCGTGTTCACTGGTGCGTCTCGTCCTCACCGTCCAGATTCAACATCAACACACACGACAGAAGATAAGCTTGTGTAATTCTCCAAGGACTGTTTATCTGCATGTCAGCAATCGGTTCATTCAGCAGAGGTGAAAGCTCGTGAGGTGTCATAGTCCTAAAGGTGTGTTAAACACACGACTCTTACCTGAGATGTTTTATTGCTGCAGGAACGCTGTGATGAGCAGTTTGATCGCTCTCTCAGGTGAATGCTGGAGTTTACAGTAAATCTGCAGCCTGTCAGTGATAAAGATCTCAGTATTGATCAGAACCTCAGTCACGTCACACTGCTGAAAAACAGTCTTCTGTTGAAAAAGAGTCAATGAGACTCGCGAGCAGACAAGCGCTCCATAGTTACTCTGCTGATTAATATCATACACACATAGCACTATCATCTCTAATAGTCTATCTTCTGTAAATGTTATGAATTCAAATTTCACAAAACAGCTCATTCTGACAGCTAGAGAATCACTATTCACTGACAGACGGAGAGAAAAGCACAATCACGTCGTTTCTGCATTGGCTTTATAACTGATTTATGTTGTAAAATTAGTTTTACATTTTTCTGAACAATGTATACATTTGTTTTTATAAATAAAATATATATATTTTTGTGGTGAAAAAAATATATATACCACTTCTTCAGTGGTGAAGAAGTTTTTCCAGTTCAGAACCAGTACGAAACTAAAACCATTGGTCTCATTTAATGATCTTCACCTCATCCAGCCATAATTACTGTACCGTCTCTATCGTTCACATCTGAACAGGGTTTGACTCTATCAGATCTCCTCACTGCTCCTCCAGTGTCATGGTTCAAATCGTACTTATCTGACCGTCATCAATTCGTAGCAGTGAATGACGAGATATCATATCGATCACAAGTATAGTATGGAGTGCCACAAGGCTCAGTACTAGGACCGTTGCTTTTCACGCTTTACATGTTACCCTTGGGAGATACAGTATCATCAGGAAACACGGTGTTAGCTTTCACTGTTATGCTGATGACACTCAGCTCTATATTTCTTTACGGCCCAACAAAACATACCAAAATGACTCTGTTATTGTCTTCTTGCATAATTGACAAACTATTTTCCTGTTTGACACTGTAAAGCTGCTTTGACACAACCAGTATTGAAGAAAGTGCTATACAAAATAAATAAATCTGACTTGACTTGACTCCAGGTCTCCATCACAGATGATGAGTCTCATCTGAGCTTTCAATATCAACACCAATATCTGACCCTGCAGCACAAAAGCAGTCTTAAGTCACTGGGGTATATTTGTAGCAATAGCCAACAATACATTGTATGGGTCAGAATTATACATTTCTCTTTTATGCCAAAAATCATTAGGATATTAAGTAAAGATCATGTTCCATGAAGATATTTTGTAAATTTCCTACCGTAAATATATCAAAACTTAATTTTTGATTAGTAATATGCATTGCTAAGAACTTAATTTGAACAACTTTAAAGATGATTTTCTCAATATTTAGATTTTTTTGCACCCTTAGATTCCAGATTTTCAAATAGTTGTATCTCAGCCAAATATTGTCCTATCCTAACAAACCATACATCAATGGAAAGCTTATTTATTCAGCTTTCAGATGATGTATAAATCTCAATTTCATAAAATTGACTGGTTTTGTGCTCCAGGGTCACACGTTTATTCTGAAATATCATTCACAATGCAAAAACACACACGTGTTTAGAAACGTTTATGAACCGAAGGTGAACCAGCATTTGCATTTGGATCTTCTCAATCTTATGTTATGTGTGGATGTTTAGAAAGATTTTCATTCACAAATTCATTTTTCACGCAGCCAATCAGACCAGATGTTTTCAGCCAATCACAGCGCGACTTTAAGACTCAAGTATCATCAAGCTTTTTATACAAAATGAGTTTCCTTACATTGAAATCTAATCAAAGGCCGTCACAAGGAAAACCAATAACATACGAATACTTAATTTGATTATTACTTTCCACACGACTCCCTATAAAGCACCCGATTCTGTGAAGTACTTTGGTCATCAATTATATTCTCAAAAGAGCTGGATAATACAGAATGAAGCCATAAAACACATCTACTAATGAAAATGAGTAGCTGAATAAATCACTGCAACAACACCAGATACGGCTAATATCCTGTGTTGTCAAACATTTACTGAAATCAGCCCATAAAACACTGATACGGATGTCTCACACACACACACACACACACACACACACACTCACACACACACACACACACACACACAGACACACACACACACACACACACAGACACACA